TTCTGACAAACTGACGTGTTTTGATAGGTGCTGAGGTAATTGTACAGATTTTTTTAATTAAGCAAAAATTGCAAGTGGTGTATTCTACAGAAGGTTAATCCCAATATCAAAGTTTAAATGTTAGTTTAGGCATTACTAAACATGACCAATCTCTTCTCTCGTGCATTTTTTTTGAAGTGTGATGTGAATTGGATGCTGAGGCTGGGCAGCTGTATTATGGGAATGTAAAGTAACCCGTTGCCTGGCAGCTCACAGGAAACATGTCTAAATATTTATTTCTGTGGATCTTTAAAGGAATGAGCTAACAAGCGGTTCTTCCTGTATGTTTTCTTTTACATTTTAATGTCTCTATTATGTGAGGAATGCTTCATTATTTTAGAATATTCAAACAAGGAGTTACAACTTCAGTGCTCCATTTTTGTTTTTCTTGGACACTTAGTGGTTGACAACTATCAACAACTTAGACAACCATCAATAATCAATTATTCCTTTATGTAGGCTTATTCATTCATACATTAGCTTTGTTTAATGATATATTAATTATGAGAAGTTGTCGTCTGTCTTTTGAGATCTTAAATAATTGATGTTATTTCTTCCCTTTTTTCTATCTTTTTTTTTTTTTTTACAATATTTATATAGTTATTTTAAAGGAACTAGTGAGTTATTTGAGTTATTCTGTATTTTAAATCTGGTACACTAGGCTGTATTTTTCTGAAGGTTTTTGTATTTACTTTCATGCATCTTTCATGTGTTTGTATGTAATATGATAGATCTATGTATCTGTACAGATAAATGTATGTAACTTTGCATGACAGTGTTAAAACTTTGTTTTCATAACATTTTTCCTTTAAGCCAAAGAACACTTGACATAGGTGCTAATGAAATTTGATTGCAGTCCTTTAAGTGTCCTGAGGTTAGAAATATGTAAAGAGGACTTTGTTGAGTGAAATATAGCTACCCAAGGGGCATAAACAGCTCTTTAAGAGCATATTGTTAAAATCCACAGCAATTTAGAGCCAGAAACTGATTATAGGAAGAGTAACTTGTAGGGAGGTAATTGTGAGCAGCAAGTCGTTGTTACTAGGTCTATCAGTTAGATGGGTAGAAAACAAGCTTAAACGCTGTTTCGTGACCTATGTCTATTGAATTTGACAGAATTTGAGTGTGCGTTGAAAGTTAAGTCTTTACCTGTTTTGCTGATGGGTCTAAACTTAACTGTGTGTTGGGCATTAAGCATATACTTGGGTTGTAGTTGGGCTTTGCACGTTAGGAACTTTTACAAAATCCTTGTTCTTGACCAAACTGTATTATGTGTTTATGTAGCTACTACAGTGATTTTACAAAAAGATAGCTGTGACTACAGCCACGTTTTTCAAAGGTGATGATGAGGTGTTAATAGTAAATGAAATTATTTTACAGGATACTAAATTTTGCCAGCATGTAAATCTTCCTTTAATGTATTGCAGCCTAGTTAGCTGTCTCTGGTGCCCTCTAGTGTTCTTTTTACACGCACAAATGGTAGTTAAAGAGACTTTAAAGGCAAGCTGCTGTATTTGATTGTCTTGTTTAGTTTTTCCTTTATCAGTCTTCATCCCCTTTTTTCTTATGAATGTTAAAAATGCAACAGAAAAATACATTAATCTTTGCCACCTCGGCTCATTTGCTTCTATCATGATGTAGACTCAGGTATGATGTGCAAGGGCATCTTTTCTGAGAAAACTTCTCGTGTGATGATGAGATCTTTTATGTTACAAACATATTGTGAAGTCTTGCATGTTGTTTCTCCTGAAGTCTTTTTGAATTGGCTGTCTTGATAGTCAAGTCTCTATGATTGCATCTTCGTGCTTTAAGGGTTGGTTTTGTTAATTGTCTTAACTTATTTTTGGTAAATAAGGAGATCCAAACAGTTAGTCCCATAGGGTTGCAGGTTATTGGCAATGTTTTACTTGTACTTACTTTATGCTGTAATGTTGTTCAGAGTTTCTGTAGTTTATTGTATTTTCTGTAGCATTTCAAGAGATGTTAGCGGTCTTGCTTGTGCGCTCTTTCTGTTGCTGTCTACTGGTGTATCAAACCCCTGTCAAATACAAGTTTGGTGCTTATTACTTGTACGCAAGAGAACAGCAGACAGTTTAATTCCAGAATTAGCTGGTTTTATTGCTTGATTCTTGGATTTGTTTTCATAAACAGTATGAGAACATGACACTTCAGCTTTAATACCTTATATTTTTTCCTGGTTAAAATTGAGATTGTGTTTGTTTTTATTTAATCGGTGAGTTTACCTTTTTAAACAACAGATCAGAAGTTCTACATCAATATTTACAAACTGTAAAGCACGAATCAGAATTTGTACAAAGGTATCACTTTCATCTCTCGTGTAAATGTGCACTTACATAACTTTGATCGACTGGATATTTTTGTAAAGTTACTTTTTCAGATCCAATATAGTCTACTGCTGTATTAGCTAAATCTCATATTTGTGAGAAATACTGGAATGGTAGTTCTGGAAGCAATCTCGCCTAACCTACAAAGTTAATTATTTTGGGGCATGCACAGCTCCCCCCCCCCCCCCCACCCCAATACATTCTCCTCTC